GGTCCTCGCCTCCTCCCCCCGGCCCCCTCGGTTCCCGGCGTTCCCACCGCGCCGGGCGAATCGCGCAACTCGCAAACCGTTTCGTCTTTATCTCGCGCGCGTCGATTCTCATTATCGTCGACGGTCTCTTAAACCGGTTTTACTTATTACGCGAGCGTTCGCTTATCTCGCGTAGATCTCTTATTAGCGGTGACGGTAAGCGAGCGTCTCTTCGCTCCCGATCTCTCTCCGTTCACCGGGATCCACCTCGGTGTCGGGAGGACGAACGGGGTGGATCGCGAGTGGACGCGACGGAAGAGCCGAGTGTCCCGTGGCGTGATCTCCGAACCGTAGGAAATTCTTCGGATAAACGAGCTTTCCGCGGGCACAACCGAGAACGGAGCAACAAGTGTGAATCTTGTCTACCCTACGGATCGGACCGTTCTTAGCTTTCCTCCCTGCTTTTCCACGCCACCGTCGCCACCGCCGCCACCGCCGCCGCCATCCGATTCGCGTTTCCTCCTTTTTTCGTCGCGCTCGCCGGCCGAGCGTGCACGCGACACTCCACAGAGGTCGCGCCGTGTTTTCACGACCCTCTCGAGCGACTAATCGTCCTCTCGCGTTTTCGTCCTCGGAGCGGGACTGCTCGTAAACGGCGAAAGAGGTTTCAGATACGAAATCGTCCCGGTGAAACCGGCGCGGCGCGCCGGCTCGAAGCCGCAAGAAACGAGACGCGGAGTATATACCGGCGTCGAACCGATACTCGAAAATGCTTATTCACCGGCACGGAATGAATAATGCGCTGCTAGCGAAATACGTCGGGGCATAAATATTGTATCTGGAACGCTATATATTACCTGTACCGAATACGTTATCTATCTCGTTCTCTGTCCACCGATTTCTGTTCTTCGTCCCGCCGCCTCTCGTATCTGATCGAGATGGTTGCCATGGGAATGCGCGTACGCCGCGCGATGCGTTACGATCCCGTTCGATCCGATCCGATGACGACCCGCGTTCGATTATCGGTACTCTTTAACCCTTTGCACTCGAGAGGTGAGTCTCAGTCACCGTTTGATTTAGTCAAACTATAGAATGTGATGTTTAATGGTAAACTTTGTATAATGCCTCGATACGTGAAAATTAGTCACAAAGAACATCGTCTTCGTCTCGTAGAAATGGTAAATATTTCTAGTAACATCCGAGTGCAAAGGGTCAACCCTTTCGCGTCCTCATATAAGGACCAACCTAAATTCGGTGAACTGTATTATTTGTAAACATCCTTGTATTGTAACCATAGATTGTTACAATCCATAGTATAAAC